TGGCAGTTATGATGTAATACAATTATTTCAAGTGTTACATACAGCAGAGTTTGCACACAGAGTGTCTCCATCAACTATAGAAGTACTCAGGAGGGAAACTCCAAGCAAATGGAAATGCTCACTTACAATGGATGTTGCTTCTTGATTTTTTAGCGCCCCTTCCTCCCAATAAGTGCATTCAGCACACGGTTCCGTGCCATGAACGCACTGGATCACATAAATAAAGGACTCCTGTGTTCTGGGATGGATGGGGGCGTGGCCTTCATGTCAATGGCACCACAGACAAAAAATAAGTGCATGCGCAATTTTTTCGATTACACTGGAGTGCAGGGCATTGCTGTACCACACATTCCAGTCCGGGTGATCGCATTGTGGGTGGGAGGCGTGTCTGCAGTGCCACTGAAATGAATAGCATCACCACGCCCCCTCCCACCCAGTACATGTGTAGCCTTTGTTTATGCCATCCAGTGCCTTCAGGGCACCGAATCATGCCCTGAATGCACTGGATAGTGTGAATAGGCCCTAAAAGTTTTAGTTCACTGCAGATTCAGATTGGTCCCAATATCCTGTTTTCGGGTGGCTCCTTTCCCTTGCAGGCTCCTATGGAGCCACCCTTGTGTGAGCTAGCAAGCTGTGTGTTTACACAAACACAGCAAGGAAAGACACTCCCCTACTCCTTGCTCCGAGCTAGTAAACTAACAGCTTCTTGAGACTGGTTTCTACATTGTGATCTTATACTGGACAGGAAGTTCGGGGAAATGCAAAACTGTAAACAAATATTTTGCTGGGCAAAGTATACTTTTTTTTAATCTGGATTCATTGCTGAAAAAAGTTTGAAAGTTTAATAATAATTTAAGTTATAAAAATGGCCTACAGTTTCATACATGGAAGATTGCTTCTTACAAGACAGTTTTTAAACACATATAACCAAGCAGGAATTGTTCTGTTAAATAACAGAGGACATTTCATGTTGCAGATCTATTCCATGTACCTATGTAAAGCTTCTACTTCCTTACCCCAATGTTGGATCTCTTTGACCTTCAGTGATTGACGTTATTTGGTCATGAGTCACACTCCAGTGGGAAGTGATTCATTTTTGCCTATGTAACACAAGCAATTTGCACACCACAGGAGGAATATAACTGGTGGTACACAAAAAATGTAATGATACGTAAACTAAAGAAGTACTATCAAATGGACAGATGCCAATATGACTTTATTAAAAGTTTGCTTCAACTTGATTTTTAGGTTAAACCAGGCTTGGACAGTTCTCATTTAGTACTAGGAGTTAAATTATAAAAACCTACGAGCCAGATCTACGCAACCTGCATATGACGATATAGGTAGCTGAAGGATAGGGCCCAATCACATCAGTGGGACTGTGTTATTCTCCACATAACACATGTCCACTGGTGTATTTTGTGTAGGTGCGGTGTGATGCATTGTTACAATGCACCACTGTGTTTATTTCCTTGTTATTATTAACTGTACTTAAAGTGTTATTAAACCCTCAGCGTTTTTTTGCATATATCTACTGCTTGCAAGCAGTAGATATATGCAAAAACTTAAAGAAAAAAAAAAAAAACCTTTTGCAACAGGTTTAAACTTACCTGTGTCTTTGCCACGTGCTCCCTTCCGAACATCTGAAAATTTCTCGGCCGGCGGCAAAGGATCTTGGGGCGGGCGCATGCGCAGTTCAGATGTTGGGCAGGGAGACGTGGAGAGACACAAGGTAAGTATATGGAGCAGTGTGGACCCGCACAGACTCCGTGGGGCATCAAAGAAGAGGAGGACAGAGGAGTCAGCGATGGATCGGAGACCCGCACCAGTGCTGGAGGGACAGCTGAAAATATCAGGAAATGAGAAGATGATTGGATTAAGAGACATAATTTAAGGTAAGTCCTTACACTAACATTGGGGGGAGGGGAGAAAAATTCCTTTAATGTCACTTTAAAGTTGAGATGCACTCTGTAGATTAGTACATGTGATGCAGACCTAGCTGCGGTCACTATGGTAGCCACAATGACTGTATGGAATGATAGAAGGCCAGACAGAGGTAACCACCATTCCCACACACAAGGACAGGCCCAGTCACTCTTACCTTGCTGCCAGCTAGGATACCGGCACTGTCAGCATGGGTGACAGCTAAGGGACACAGACTAGTCACAACGTGACCTAGGAGCACTACTATCAAGATACCCAGGGAGTTTTTTTTTTTACTGTCGCAATGGCGACCTGGCCACCAGTATTTGTTTAGTCTTGGGTTAAACAATGCAAAAATAAAACTATCTTGCAACCAAAATACGTGAATTATTAATTGAAGGCAGAGATAGGAAGGTGTGTGGCCAGCCTTACAATCAGCTCATCTAATTATATGTTTACATTTTACCCCATCACTGTATCATAAAAGAGCAGCTTACGTCCTATAAACACACATTCATATATCTGAACAATTCCAATCTAAACTTACATTGTACAAATAAGATGTGTGGTCAGCTCTACACTTGCCTTACCAGAAGACCAAACTCACTCAGGGCATACTTTGCATATCCTAGTTTTGCCTAACAAAAAGGAACCAGGGAGCTTATACGTCTAAGCCAGCAAAATGTCTAGGTGGTAGTAAGATTATGGACTAAAGAAGTATGTTCACTTAGCTTCCCTTTCCTTCAGTTAGTGTTTTATTTTCTCAGCACAGTAGTTTCACTTAACCATTGAGGAGAACTGTAAAGCCAGAGTTTCATGTTGCCGCTGTGCAATCCTGGTCCTTCCCCAGTGACATCATTTCTCCAGCACACCCCTGTTACATCCCACCTTCAACTTTGTTCCTTTTTCCTCGCACACTCTGCAGTTTCTTCTCCAGAGTCTCATCAAATAAAGAGCGTGAATCTACCCAGCAAGGGCACAGACTGCTATATAAATCTGCCAAAGGGTCTAAGCCCCCCCACTCCAGGAAGATATAAAAAAAACAAATGGACACAGCTTTGAATTAACACATGACTAAATTATTTTTTTTATTTAAATGCAAGTAGTGTAAGAACCTGAATATGACCTGGTATCATCCTCTTACTGTGCCTCCGCAGCCAAGCTCAGAAAAAGAGGGAGAAGCAGCACAAGGAACACATCAGCTGCAGAGTTCATGTGCTAATAAAGAGAATGTGAAGAGGAGGAGAGAGCATAGGGACAGTGAGAGGGCCCACAGGCTTGGGGTGAGGAGCAAAGATCTGTATATATTACTGAAATTGAGCTGGGTGCCGAGGACAATGCAACTACTGTGCGCATGCGCAGGAGTTCCATCATTAGACACAGTCCAATGATAGAAAAATGACGCGTTCTTGAGAAAGTATTTCATGAAGAAACACGCTGTCATCACGCCAGTCACATTACCAACACAGCCTCCACGAACGTGTACTTATCCCTGGCTGCCTACAGTATTTATATTTTCATACATGTCAATGTCATCATTGCTTGGTTCGTCCTGTTGTGAAAACTAGTTTTAGAGCTACAGTATATTACCACATTCACGGACGAAATTAGTTTAGGGCAAAAAAGGTGTGTGGGTGTTTTGTTTAAAACATGAATACAATTGAGAACCAAACAAACACCCTATCTGCACGCAATCATTCAAAATTAATCTGGATGTCAAAGTATGTGAAAAATAATACAATGAAGACTGAAAATTGCCCCGGGCCGTAAGCTGCCATAGATTCTGGCCAACTAAGAGACGCTGCATAAGCCTTGTACACCTTTGTATGCACAGTCTACCCACTAGTACAATAAAACTAAAATACCATAAACCATTTTGGCTAAATGCCGAAAGTGCCATTTTCCTGTCGATACATCGGCGCATCCGTGATTTCTTTCCTCCACGCTTGGCGCTGCTCTGTGTCCCTGCGGGGAGGAGAGAAAGTGACAGCCGGCCAAGCGCTGCCAGACAAGAGCGCTGTGAGCGGCCGGTGTCTCTCCTCCCACACCGCTTGGCCACCTATCACAGGCCGGCAGAGCGGTGTGGGGGCGGAGACAGCGCTGCCACAGGAAGCTGAGCTCTCCTCCCTGCACCGCTCACTCAGCCTCCTGTGACAGCGTGTCAGAGAGGAGAGCAGGCTAAAAAACACTCAGCGATCAGTGATTGCTGAGTGTCTGTAGATAATTGAGGACATGGTATATGTACTGTATCTTCAATTATGAATGAACGGGAGTGATCTACTTCCCCTCCTGTTCATTCATAGTTGTAGTAAACTGGTAGCAAAAGCATGCGCCGTCAACTGTCATGAAGTACAACTCCGCTATGAAGTCCAAAATGGTGACCTGTAGACTGGTTACCTTAGGGGTGGCCAAACTAATATGGAATTCAGGAACCAGTCTGCCTACTTCAGGAGCCAGCAGGATTTGTTTAGGAGCTAGATCCATTGCCAAGAACTATAGAAAGCCTCAAAAGTTAGGTGCCAGCTGTAGCTTTTATGGGAGCACTGGCTACCTGGCTCCCATTCCTTACTGTACCAGCACATGATGTATATGTGTACAAAGATATCATATTTTCTACTTATTCCCATTTCTTTCCAAATACACCACTTACTATTTATTACTTGCCCAAAGCCTTCATTTGTTCTTAATCTAGATGGTGAAAGCATTTACCAAATTCTAAGCAACTTGTCCAAATATGGTAAGGTTAGGCGCAAAAGGGGTGGGGCTTAACATGCTAGGTTTGTTTTAATTGAAAATATTTGTAGGTGCATTTTTAATGCATGAGGAAGGGGGTCTAAACACCTGGTCTTGAAGTGGTTAAAGGAAGAAAAAATATATATATATGTATATATCTATAGATATATATATAAGCTACTTTGCAGTCCAACCTTTTGAAGAGAAAACTATGCCAACAACAAATGTTTGTACTGTGGTTAGGTAATCGAATCAAGTATTAGGGATAAATATACCAGTCAAAAACTGAATTCTGACTAAGTATAATATGTTCAATAATTCACTGTATGAAGAAAGTGACCTACCTGCTCCTGGGGAGAAACATGGACTCCTTGATAAACACAGATCCAGATAAAAGGATATACCAGCAGGTACCGATATCATCAGGGCTAAAATTACAGAGAGAAAACCATCAAGAAAAGTACTCTACAGGATAATATTAGAAACATAATAAATATGCTTGTATGGTTAGAAACAGGAATCAGCATCACTCTACAGTTCCTTGTCTGCTGTTAACAACATGACTTCACAGGATGTGTACATAGGCATGAAAGAAATGCAATTCATCTAATATTCTCTGTAAGATGACAGGGTATATTACTCAAGCCTGACAGTACCAAGGAGAGCTATATGTTTTCATACATTTCCCCAATGTCTTAACTCCTTTTTTCCTAGTACTTGGTCACCATTTGCCTGTTATTTAGTGAAAATGTATTCATACTTCTCATGTCTACTTCCCCCTGCCATTTAATACTTGTATTTCAGCACAGCTTACCTTGAATTACGTCAAATGAAAGATTTTAATGTTCAGCATTATTCATAGTAAAACATCTCTATGATAGTGAAGGCAGCAAAGCCCAGCCTAGCCTGTGGTCATGTATGAGTGTTTCTCCACCTAGTGGTCACAGTGGGAGTGCCATGGTCAATCTCTGCCATCAGATGCCTCCTAGAGTTGTGTATGTCCACGTGATTGCCAGTTCCTGGGGATTTTCCTTTCTTCTTCCTTCAACAATGCTTTACTGTTTAAAGGCCAGGTATCCCTGCGCCAGAATGCTCTAACCAAGCTACTGTTCTAGAGTCTGAGAACAGCTAATACGTATTTGCGTGCTGATTGACGTGGCTGTTTAAACAATAGCTTGGTTGTTCAGCTTATTTTAGTAAGTACAGGTGCTTAAGGGCAGAGAAAATGCAAACTGGTACACATCATATAGCACCTATGTACGCAATGATATATCGATTTACAAGTTAATTATATAGAACGTGACTAACAAACCTAAGAAAGTAGAAGTCCACCCAAAATATAAGACCTACCCCGAAAATAAGACCTAGTTGCGACCTTTCCCAGGGCCGGTGGTGGCATAAGGGGGAACTTGCAGCGACGTGGGAGAGAATCAGCGGTGCCAACGAAGCCAGCGCTAGAAGAAGCGAGGCAGCAGCGGAGGGAGCAGAGCCGCATAAGCCGATGCTTCCTCTATAGCGAGTGAAAGTTGTGGCCTCACTTCCTGCAATTTCTGTCCCAGTCACAAAAAAAAGCTTTAGCTAGAATTCTTTTATTTGTATTCTTTTAGCTTGTAAACCATGACCTACCTTATACACATATTATCCAATTTATAATTAAAAACACTGACCAATACCATCCTAATCTCTTTACTAGAACATCTAATGGGTTGCTCGACAATTATATTAAATATAAATATTAAAGAGAAAATATAAAAATCAAAAACACGAATAGGCAACAAGGACAAGGTTTGCAAATGATAAGGATGAGTGTAATCCAAATCCAAAATGTATAAATGACCACCAGCCTTAAATATCAGTGCAGGGAAGTATCGTGCAGGAAGCATCTGTGGTCATTACAAGGAGGCATCTGGTGTCATGAAGAGGGCATCACTTTATTTATTGATTTTTTTTTTTATTACACTGTACTATAGTAAATGAAGCAGGAGGGGGGAGACTCCATTGCAGAGCAAAAAAATCCATCAGGAACATTTCACTATTAATGTCCAAAGTTGATGCAAGACGTGAGTCAAAATATCAGTCTGCCAAAATAGCTTTTTTCTTCAACATGTGCATGTTTTACTATCCTTAATATGTTTCTTTGTGAAAGAGACAGCTCTGAAGTAAGTAAACCATTTCCTGGCTTTATAACTGACGGAGAGCAGGGCAAGCCCTTGGATTTATTTAGTCTCTTTATATAGAATATCTCCTCCAAAAGATCTCAAACAACAAGGCTTGATTTACTGCAGTGCAGGACTTGCTCGACTCCAGTACAAGTTTGCCAATCCTTCGCTTAATAGGAGGTATAATACACATTTGGGGAGAGGAAGATAGCACAAGTCCTTTGCATTATTAAATATGCTGCTGGATGACATTCACGCTGCCTTCTGGACAGGCAAGGAGAATGAAGAGGTCCGTCGGCCAATTAGTATGCTGAAATAAGGTCCTCCCTAACCTGTCTTTTCCTCGCATGTTATCACAAATGCTTCTTGCCAGTCTCCTTTAATGCACAGTTTGTAAACATAACAGCATTAAGGGATCTGAGAAAAGTTAAAACAAACAGATATAAAGCAGAGAGGTGCGGGGTTTAATGTATGCTTCCAATTACAAGAGAACTGTATGCCTTTTAGCAGAAGGTTTTCATTTCATTAAAACATACTTCAGACAATGTAAAGACTATAAAATATGTATAACACGTATTATATGAGGCGTGATGGATTCAGACAGCCAAGTGTGCTGCAAATTTGGGACATTGTGGCTCAAGTCTTGGCCCCAAACTTTCTACATTACTGACTACCCTTGGCACAAGTATGTACTGAGGGCCAGTGTGTTCTGGGCACTGCAACCAACTTCAGCTTTCAGCATTTAAAGTACAATGAAATAAGATTTCTTACGGGTTCATGAGGATTACTATTGTACTTTGCTTGAAGTTATTTGCATTTTGATTTATTTGTGTTTACACTGTACTACCAGCTACTATAATAGAAAGCACAAATAGTCTGCAATACATTACTGTTGAGCTCCATTTCTTGGTACTAAAAGGCTGTGGTTGTAGTTTTTCTTAAGTCCTTTTTTATCAATGACATTTTTAATGGAATGAAGAGGGAAGGCATGAAAACGTCACTGAGTCACCGAGGAAGTTCTGCAGACAAACTGCTTACACCCCTTCTGACACATCAGACACTCAGCTGCAACATGTTGATGTCATAAAAAATTTCACAGGAAGATCACTCATATTTGATGATAGTCACATACCCAGCTAAAGAGACTGTACATATCAAATGGTCAGAAGGGTCATCACCCATTTAAAGGCATGCATGAAGAACCTGGACTGATTTTATGTGTTTGCACTAGGCAAGGGTAACAAGTCATGAACCTTATTGATACTTGGGCAGGCCATTATCCTGGAAAACCAGTCAGACATCTAATTATTCACCAACAGTCTAATTTCTGGGTACATATACTGTATATATGTGATTATACTGCTAAAAATTTTACAAACTGTTAAAGCCATCCTTTTTTTTTTATCAAGAGATAAAAAACCTCTCCATACTGGGAGAGGTGGTATAATATGTGGGGAATAGTTTCTTGGCACACATTAGGACCCTTGATACCAACTAACCATCATTTCCTACAGAGCCCCCTGGTCTCAATTCAACTGAGCACTTTTGGGAACCAATTTGAAATTTCCCAACATTAAAGCTTGGCTGGCAAATTTAAAGTGCATGCTATTGGATCAATATAGCCCAAACTTCCTAAGGGATGATTCCAGCATCTTGCTGAATCCACAGCACCAATAATTCAGGCTGTGCTACAGGGAAAGGGGTATTCTATCTAGTACTAGCCAGGCGTGTCTAATAAAGAGGCCAATAGGTTCAATGGTGGTAATCTTCTATTTTCCTATAGTTCTCATTATGGTAACGGGAGGACTATGGATGCAGCAATACCAATACTAGTATCGGTGCCGAAACCGCATATTCGCCAAATGCTCCTATACTTACCTCTGATACCGGAACTTTCGGTCAGAGGAAGATGTACCTCTGACCACAAGTGCCGAGGGAGCATGGAGCCGGCTTCCTTTTCAATCAGGAAGCCGGGCGGTGGGTTATGACCAGCCTCCCAGCTTTCTGATTGGCTAGGAAACCGGCTTCACTTGTTGCTGGGCAGCCTGTCTTCCTAGCCAATCAGGAAGCCGGGCAGCATGTCATTACTCGCGACCTGGCTTCCTGATTGGTCAGGAAGCCGCGCTACCCAGCAACAAGTGACGCTGGCTTCCTAGCCAATCAGGAAGGCAGGAGGCGGGTCATGACGTTCCGCTAGGAAGCAGGCTTCACTTGTTGCTAGGCAGCCTGGCTTCCTGACCAATCTGTTGGTCAGGAAGCCAGGCAGCCTGGGTATGTGAAGCCGATGTTCTTTCGCTAGCATCATGATCCACCGCCTGAATTCCTGATAATTGGGGCACAAGGCACCGGTATCATTATAGGCGAGTACTGAAAAAATATCGGTACTTTATAAGGAAAAACCGGTATTGGTGCATCCCTAGGGAGGACATATACTAACGTCCTCCCGTGACACAAAACTCAGCATATAGTGGGCTATTGTCTGCTATATGCTGAGAGCACCGCAGCCGGGATGGATCCCGACAATACTGTTGAGATCAACCTGCTGGCTGATTGACAGCGGGCTCTGCCTATCTAGAGGCAGAGCCAGCTATGTCAGCCCCATCCTCCACTGAGCGTTGCAGTATCAGAGAGGGGAGGGGGGAATGCCTGCAGGGAGCTGTGACTGACAGTCTCTCTGCAGGGAGATGATCGGGAAGTGAGCGAGCGGAGTATGTTTTCGCTCATGTCCGGATCAATAGAGCCGGCATGTGAGTTTCAATGTGGCACGTCGGCTTTAACTATGGGGATGAGTGTAATTCACTCACTCCATAGCTCTCCTTTAACTCAACAGAAACATGAAGGCTCCTTGTAAAAATGCTAAGTACCTAGCTATTATGGTGAAAAACTAAATACTGAAGCCAGAGGGTCAGCATGACAGCAAGGCAACTAACATTTCCAGGATGAGAAGAGAAGTCGCCACGCTTCTCTCAGAAAGGGGTTCCTTAACATTTTAACACAAACATTCATTGCTCTTATAAACTGACTATAATAAAAGGGCACATTGTTGTCCGAATAAAATTAGCACATTTTCTTTCACTGTGAATGTTCCAGCATTCGTTTGGAAGTGTAACCTTTATTAGAAAACTGACCCAAAAATGTCATCTTTTAAAGTATGCAAAAAATATTATGTTCATATGTAGGAAATACAGAAACAACACCTCTCATTAAAAAGAGGTCACCTATGCCAGGGGCTTTTTGGTAAAATGACTGCATGTTTTTCACTTTAACAT